AATTATGGGAGCTGAAGTCCAAAATACCTGGAGGGCTGAAGTTTGTCTATGCCTGCTCTAACCTAAACCTGTTTCACTTCTGCAAAATTGTTTTCAGATGCCCAAAATTATACACATCAAGAAAGCAATATCTGATGAAGCATGATCCATTTGAAACCACTCTGAATTGAATTTGAAATATTATCTTCTCCACTCAGCAATGGGCTGTACATCATTTCTTGAACCTATCAGCATTGAGTGGCTATTATTTCCATGAATGCATTCTCTTAACTCCATTTTGCTCTAAGGCCACTCAAGCAGCAATTTTTAAAAGCAAAAATAACACACCAAGGAGAAACCAATCATTCTATATTCATTGTGGAAGTATAACTGAAAAAGTGCTCAGAAAATTTTCCATTTAAGTAATTTTTATCATTGCAAGATGAAGAAGCAAGAACTGGGAGAAATCTATTTTCTTTAAATGCGATCCTTAGGAAGCAGTGCAGGTTATAACCCTATGTCATCATCTCAGGAGGGAATACAAATCTCTTTTCATCAATGAGCCCTCAAGAGCCATCTTCCAAGATTGTTTATTTCTGCTTTTCCTTTAGTGCTATGGTTTTTCTAATAACACTTGACGAGTGAAGGAAACCCTAAGGATGAAAGCTGTCAACATTGCATTCTGGCAACTAATGAATTCTGATACCCCACTATTATTCTGGCAATAATGTTTCCAATTGTTCTTTGCTTATTGGTTATGTTGTTTGTTTAAATAACAAAAACTGTCCAACAATCTCATAGCCGATGCACCAATAAACAACGAAGGATCACCCTATGACAGCACACAGTAGTGGAAGCCAATTCCCCAAAGGAAAAGTACAATAATTAACCATCATTGTCAGCAAAGCAACAATAGAGATTTGATAGTGAGCTGACAGGAACAATGGCTTCCTGGCACACTATTTGTGTTATATCAGTCTCATGATGGCCCACTTGGCCAGGCTATCACACCTCGTTTCTGGTTTCCAGGCAGAATCACATTACATGCCAATGACGCCCTCTATTGTTCCTCTGGTTATCTACTCACTGTGGATTTAGGACACATCTTACTCCGTCATTTGTTCCCCAGTGGCCATTTATCATTAAAGCTGAACTTGTTCCCTCACCACCATAATACAGGTATTTGCATGTCTATGGCAATCGACACATAAAAGGTAAAGGTTTCCCCTGACATTAAGTCTAGTCGTACCCATCTCCATTTCTAAGCCGAAGAGCTGACGTTGTCCGTAGATGCCTCCTAGGTCATGTGGCTGGCAAGTCTGTATGGAGTGCCATTACCTTCCTGCAGAAGCGGTACCTATTGAACTACTCAAATTTGCATGTTTTCGAACTGCTAGGTTGGCAGAAGCTGAGCCTAACAGCGGGAGCTCAACCTGCTCCCCAGATTCGTACCGCCGACCTTTCGGTCAGCAGGTGCAGCAGCTCAGCTGTTAAGCCCATTGTACCACCTGGGGCTCTATACAATATACACATACAATATACATATAGGTCTTCTCCTAGGCACTTCCCTCCATGTTTCTGAGGAACCTTCCACACTGTCCTATATCCCAGGATCTGATCTCGGATTATCAGCCTTAAACTGGGATATATGAGTCCCCACTGCCAGATAACCTGGGATAAACAGATCCTGGGGTATAGGGTCAGTGTGGAAGGGGCCTGAGGTATCTATGAAATGCTATAAACTTTGTTCTCTCAGGCCCTGTCTACACCACCATACCATGCAGTTTCAGAAAGGCAGTGCACTCATATACAGTGTTCCCTCACTGCTTCATGCTTCACTTTTAGCAGATTCGCTGTTTTGCGGGGTTTTGAAAATATTAATAAAAATATTAAACATTTACATCAGTTGGAGGCCAGGGACCCTGGAGGTGCAGCAGCCTGGGCCACATCAGGAAAGGCCTGTCTCCCTAGCCTCCATAGATCCCGGAAGTGCAGCAGCCTGAGGCGCAGTGGGGAAAGCCTGCCTCCTTGGCCTGCTGCTGCCTGCATGGCTCCAGAGGCTCTGCCGGGGTCTGCGGAACCAGGGAGACAGGAAGGCATGCTTTGGATGGGCTGGGAGGTGGGTAAGGAAGAGCAGGTAAGAAAATAATATATAAAATATATAAAATAATGTATAAAAATTAAAATTAATATGGCGTCCCTACTTTGCGGATTTTCACTTATCACGGGTGGTCCTGGAACGGAATCCCCATGATAAGTGAGGGAACACTGTAGTCCAGTTCAATGCAGTAAAAGTGAATTCTAAAACTGCATTATACAGCAGTGTAGGCAGGGCCTTGGGGTCTCTTACACTGACCCTTTAATGCAGTTCGAAATTAGCTTTGAACTGCTGCACCTGGACAACAAACTCCCACAAGAAGCGTGCTAAAGAAAGCCCCTGATGTGCATCAGTGCACACCATCTGGGCTTCAAGGATTTCCTATGCACAGCAAAACCACTTTCTTCAATACTGGTTTCAAATTGCATTAAACAGCAGTGCAGATTGATGTGCCCTATGTTAAGATCCGCCTAGTCAAAGCCATGGTATTCCCTGTAGTAACCTACGGACAGCTGGACCTTAGGGAAGGCTGAGCGAAGGAAGACAGATGCTTTTGAACTGTGGTGTTGGAGGAAAGTTCTGAGAGTGCCGTGGACTGTGAGAAGATCCAACCAGTCCATCCTCCAGGAAATAAAGCCCGACTGCTCACTGGAGGGAAGGATACTAGAGACAAAGTTGAAGTACTTTGGCCACATCATGAGGAGACAGCAAAGCCTAGAGAAGACAATTATACTAGGGAAAGTGGAAGGCAAAAGGAAGAGGGGCCGACCAAGGGCAAGATGGATGGATGGCATCCTTGAAGTGACTGGACTGACCTTGAAGGAGCTGGGGGTGGTGACGGCCGACAGGGAGCTCTGGTGTGGGCTGGTCCATGAGGTCACGAAGAGTCGGAGACGACTGAACGAATGAACAACAACAACATGTTAGTCTCAGAAGTGCTACAAGATCCCTTTGCGCACTGGTATTCTAAACTAACACAGCTAGGACTGTGAATAGAGAGCAAACACACTGAATACAGGGAATCATAGAATCACAGAATCATAGAGCATAGACCTCATGGGTCATCCAGTCCAACCCCCTGCCAAAAAGCAGGAAAATCGCATTCAAAGCATCCCCGACAGATGGCCATCCAGCCTCTGCTTGAAAGCCTCCAAGAAGGAGACTTCACCACATTCTGGGCAGAGAGTTCCACTGTTGAACAGCTCTCATCATTAGGAAGTTCTTCCTCATGTTCAAGTGGAATCTCCTTTCTTGTAGTTTGAAGCCATTGTTCCGCGTCCTAGTCTCCAGGGTAGCAGAAAACAAGCTTGCTCCCTCCTCCCTATGACTTCTCCTCACATATTTATACATGGTCATCATGTCTCCTCTCAGCCTTCTCTTCTGCAGGATAAACATGCCCAGCTCCTTAAGCTGCTCCTCATAGGGCTTGTTGGATTCGAGCCCAACCTTCCAAGGCGCCAAAAAGCTGGACATTGAGTCGAAACAACACACCACCTTCTTTTCTGTCTCTGTATTGTGTATACAAAACAGCATTGAATGTTTGTCGTGTACATGTACTGTGATCTGCCCTGAGTCCCCTTGGGGAGATAGGGAGAAATATAAATAAAGTATTATTGTTATTATTGTTATTACCTATGCATTCATTACAGTATAGGCCAGGCATAGCCAAACTTCGTCCCTCCAGGTGTTTTGGACTTCAACTCCCACAATTCCTTACAGCCTACTGTGATGCAGCAGCAAAAAAAGCCAATGGGATTTTGGCCTGCATCAATAGGAATATAGTCTCTAGATCAGGGGATCCTCAAACGTTTTAAACAGAGGGCCAGGTCACAGACCCTCAAACTGTTGGAGGGCCAGATTATAATTTGAAGAAAACATGCACACTGCACATATCTTATTTGTAGTGCAAAAAAAACACTTTAAAACAATACAATAATTAAAATGAAGAACAATATTAACAAATATAAACTTATGAGTATTTCAATGAGAAGTGTGAGCCTGCTTTTGGCTGATGAGAAGGGATTGTCATTGTTGTGTGCTTTCAAGTCATTTCACCCTGAGCGAGGGCCAGGTCGTTGACCTTGGAGGGTTGCATCCAGCCCCCAGGCCTTAGTTTGAGGACCCCTGGTCTAGATCCAGGGAAGGTATGCTGCACCTCTATTCCGCCTTGGTTAGACCACATCTAAATACTGTGTCCAGTTCTGGGCACCACAATTGAAGAGAGATATTGACAAGCTGGAATGTGTCCAGAGGAGGGCGACTAAAGTGATCAAGGGTCTGGAGAACAAGCCCTATGAGGAGGGGCTTAAAGAGCTGGGCATGTTTAGCCTGAAGAAGAGAAGGCTGAGAGGAGACATGTATAAATATGTGAGAGGAAGTCATAGGGAGGAGGGAGCAAACTTGCTTTCTGCTTCCCTGGAGACTAGAACAATAGCTTCAAACTACAAGAAAGGAGATTCCACCTGAACATGAGGAAGAACTTCGTAATGGTTCAACAGTGGAACTCTCTGCCCAGAATGTGGAGGAGGCTCCTTCTTTGGAGGGTTTCAAGCAGAGGCTGGATGGCCATCTGTCGGGGATGCTTTGAATGCAATTTTCCTGCTTCTTGGCAGGGGGTTGGACTGGATGGCCCATGAGGTCTCCTCCAACTCTAGGATTCTATGATTCCACTGGGAGCTTGAGGTCCAAAACTTCTGGAGGGCCGAAGTTTTCCCATGCCTGGTATCGATAGATACAGAGAAAGTACGAAACTGTGCCCCCCTTCCTTCCTTTCATCCCTTCCTCTCTCCCTCTTCTCTCTCCTTCCTGTCTTCCTTCCTTCCCTCTCTCTCTCTCTCTCCCTCTTCTTTTCCCCAATCCCTTGCGGCACCTCCGTCTCCGGGCGGCAGGTGGCGCTGTCGGCGCCTCGCAGCGGCGTCGGAGGAAGGGAGACGCGGCGGTCAAAGGGCGGCAAGGCGGGGCGTGGTCTTGCTGCTTTGGCCGCCTCCAAAGACCGGGAGAGGCCGCCTGGAGTCCCGGGATGGGGCTCTGCTTGCCCTGCCTGGGCGGAGCGGCCGACAACGTGGTGGAGACGCCAGACCCCGTGAGTAGCGGTGCCACCTGGCCTTCGCCCTCCTATCCCTCCCCCCGCACTATTTGGTTTCTCCCTCCATCAGTGAGTGTCTGTCTCCCAAGCTCTGTTCTTCCAGGTGCTTTGGACTTCAGCTCCCAGAATACCTAATCATTGGCCAACGCAGCTGAGGATTCTGGGAGTTGAAGTCCAAAACACTGGCAGGGCTAGAGTTTGGGAACCAGTGCCTGGGAGTAGGAGCCGCTGGGTTTGAAGGGAGCTTGCCTTTGAGTAGGGAAATATAAGCCTTTTCTGCAGTTTGTTCCTTGCCTTGAAAATACCTCCTCCTTTAGTTGAAATCATAATACAATCTCATCTAGCAATTACCTTTTACTTCTTCAGATCACCACCTTCCCTCCCTCCCTCCTTTCATAGGACACGTCACTACATTGTCTTCCAAGAGATCGGGACTTCAACTCCCATCAGCCCCAGCTAGCTGGGCCAACTGTTAGGAATTCTGGGAGTTGAAGTCCACACTCCGGGGGCCAGACTAGAACAACATGGAAGCAGCAGGCGTTTCTGTATTCAGAAATAGAGGCTGGGTAACCCTTATCCAGAAGTGTTGTTGAAGGCTTTCATGGCCGGAATCATTGGGTTGCGGTGAGTTTTCCAGGCTGTATGGCCATGTTCCAGAAGCATTCCCTCCTGACATTTCGCCTACATCTATGGCAGGCATTCTCAGAGGTTGTGAGGTCTGTTGGAAACTAAGCAAGTGGGGTTTATATTTCTGTGGAAGGTCCAGGGTGGGAGAAAGAGCTCTTGTCTGCTTGAGGCAGGCGTGGATGTTGCAGTTGGCCATCTTGATGAGCATTGCAGCTTCAAAGCCTGGCTGCGACATTCACACCTGCCCCAAGCAGATAAGAGTTCTTTCTCCCACCTTGGACATTCCACAGATATATAAACCCCACTTGCCTAGCTTCCAACAGACCCCTCAACCTCTGAGGATGCCTGCCATAGATGCGGGCAAAATGTTAGGAGAGAATGCTTCTGGAACATGGTCATACAGCCTAGAAAACTCACAGCAACCCAGTTATCCAGAAGTATGTTGTATTTTTGTTTGTTTTTGGAATACCTGGGACCCAAGTCTAAACATGAAATTCATGTATGTTTCATACTACTTCATCACACCAGAGCAGTGGCTCTCAACTTGTGTATCCACAGATGTTTTGGCCTTCAACTCCCAGAAATATTAACAGCAGGTAAACTGGTTGGGATTTCTGATTGTTTTAGGCCAAAATATCTGGGGACCCACAGGTTGAGAACCACTTCACTAGAGAATGAATCCACTTTAAATCGAGTTTCAGCCTTCTGCTGAATTCTGGGATGTGTAGTTTAGGGAGGAGCCTTTACAGCCTCACTAACCTTTAACAGCCTCAGCAACCGGATTTAACATCTTAAAAAGAATTTTGTTAATGGAACAAAGTTTGTGTAACTTGAACCATCACAAGGTAAGTGCAACTGTCTCAGCCACCTATGTAGACAATTTTGAACATCTAGATAAGGCAAGCATGGGCAAACCTCCGCCCTCCAGGTGTTTTGAACTTCAACTCTCAATTGTGGGAATTGGAAGTCCAAAATGCCTGGAGGGCCAAGCTTTGCCAATGCCTGCGATAAGAGATGCTTGATCTGTAAATCTAAATATGGCGGTTCAGAAGTCAGACCCAGCTGTTAGGATTTCTGGGAGTTGAAGGCCAAAACGTCTGAAGACCCACAGGTTGAGAACCACTGGTTTAATGGATGAGATGGATTCTGAATTTGCACAAGAACATCAGCGTTTGGTGTCTTTTACTCAAGTTGAATGCCTGCCTATCTCTTTATTTATCTATCAATAAATATTTTTAATGATATCTGATAGCTTATCATACACAGCAGACAACATCAGAGTGGCTACTCCGTATTCCAAACATTGGCAGTAACACAGTGACTTCATATTTCCATTTGAAGTTGAATCTTATCCATAAACAGAACAGAAGAAAGCTAACTTTTTGAGGGTATCAAGTCTTTCAGGGTCCTTCAGTGCAGTCCAGCCTGAAGAACAAAGGTTGGACGGAGTATTTATTTATTTATAGTATTTGTACTCCACCCTTCCCACCCCTAAGAGGACTCAGGGCACCTTACAGAACATACATACAGCAAACATTAAATCCGGGAGCCCCCGGTGGCACAGTGGGTTAAACCCCTGTGCCGGCAGGACTGAAGACTGACAGGTCGCAGGTTCGAATCCGGGGAGAGGCGGATGAGCTCCCTCTATCAGCTGCAGCTCCTCATGCAGGGTCATGACCGATAGGTCGCAGGTTCGAAGAGGAGAGGCGGATGAGCTCCCTCTATCAGCTCCAGCTCCTCATGCGGGGACATGAGAGAAGCCTCCCACAAGGATGATAAAAACATCAAATCATCCGGGCATCCCCTGGGCAACGTCCTTGCAGACGGCCAATTCTCTCACACCAGAAGCGACTTGCAGTTTCTCAAGTCGCTCCTGACATGACAAAAAAAAATCCAATTGTACAATTAACAAGGAAAAAGAACACAAACAGAGGTAAAAGCAGTTTTTACCATCCTATTTCCAGCATCTTGGGGGGGGGGGGGGGGATGCTGTTACTTCATCTTCCATGCCAAGCTTTCCTCTGATTTAATTGTGCCTTTTTTAACCTCCCTGATGAAAGCAGTACCTATTTTTTTCTCCTTGCATTTCTGCTTTCGACCTACTGGGTGGACAGGTGAGATGGGACTAACAGTGGGTGCTCACCCCATGGAGGCTTGAACTGCTTATCCTCCGATTGACAGGATTTTTCTGCAGCATAGTTGTTTAGCCTGCTGTGCTAAGCCTGGTCCCAGAAAAATCCATTTCTGTCTGTAGGCCTAGATTCCATTTCCTTAGCATACCATGCAGAAATAGATCCAGATCCTTAATTTGACACCCTGGATGGAAGGTGCTGCTGGCACTAAAATGCCCAGAAAGCAACTCACCCAGATGCACATCCGGCTGCATCAGTGTCAGAGATAAGGAATGACATTTGAATGACAGCCTGTGTGTTTCACTGAAGCATGAAGCACCTTAGCTTAATTTGAATAATAAGAAAATATTGTCATGGACCCCTCTGAGTCTTCAGGGGAAATACTTAACATATTCAGGCTGACCATTTCCTAGTGCTCTTAGGAACTGTCCAGTTTATTGCTGTCCAGTTTATTGCTGGACAGTGTTTGTTTAGCACCAGGAACCATTTACCTGATAGCAGTGCTGCATAATTGCTCTTAAGATATTTTGGTGACTAAAATTCAACAAGCACAGCCACGGTTCTAGTAGAGCAAGCAATATTATCTGTCCCTGTCATTTCCCACTGCTAACAGGCTTGGATGCATCCAAGACCACACAAGCTGTTTTGCTTGGCTTATTTAAATCCTGAGCTTCATTAACTGGAAGTTTGACTGGTCCACAACTGAAGCCATGAAAAAGATGGCTTCAGTTGTGGACTTAGCTTGTCTTCATACTCTCCCTAGACCGTGTAGCACTTCCATGCATGTCGCTCAATAATACTGAGAAAGAGAAGCATCTTATCACTTGTATGCATGTCAGAGCCTCTGTGCTACCAATATGGGAAATACTTGAAATGAAAAGAATCTCAAATTGGCAATTAGGAGAGAAAAAAGCTTATTCTGTCACTTGTAGACTAGGCAGTTAAACATGGCTCCACTCTCTGATAAGCTACAATATTTACCTGGTTAGAAAGACCCTTGGAAGACCGTTGTTCATTTCCAGTAAAATTGGTGTGAAAAAAGGGTGTCCATGAGGTTTTTTTGGTAATGGTTCTTTTTCATATTTTCCATAGGAAATGAGAAGAAGACAACTTGCGGAAGCTGCAGAAAAAAGACAAATGGAGGTAATCAGGTGCTTGGGTGCCTATTCAGATATTTTCTTATGCAAGCAATATAAATAACAGCTCTTTTGGAAATTGCATCCTTTAATTATGTGGGAGAGGTACTATCATACTGCCATTGCAGTTAACTGTATCATTGGTTACAGCTAATTTACATGGAGTTTAGCATCCACCTGGCATCATTATCTTTATTATCCCACTTTTATCTCGATTGAAACACAAACTGTCATATAAATAAATGTAATAACTAGCAATAGTACCTTGGTAACAAACATTTAATAATAGGCTATATAGAAATAGCATAAAAGCACACAAAGACAAATGAGAAAGTATTTGCAAGATCAGAAATTTATGAAGCTTATTTACTCTTGAATTATTGGTGCATCTAGCTCAGTATTGTCAACACTGACTGACAGCAGCCCTCCAGGATTTAAGGCAGCAGTTTTTCCAGATCATGCTAAATTTCCAAGTGATTGGCTGTTTTTATGAAAGTTTTTGCTGAACCATTGAGATACAGACTTCATCAGTGCACAAAACACTGCTAGTAACTAGGCTTGTGTGAAGTGCTGTCCTAGGTCTATAACTGTCTACTGCAATCCAAAAATATCTGCAGCACCTCAACTTTCTACCTCTAGTCTATAATCATCATGCTGTTGTGTCATTCAGCAGACAAAGCTAGGAAACCTTTGGTTGTGAATTCACATTCTTTGGTGGTGCTTACTTGAAGATCTTTATGATTTACTAGCATTTGTTTGTTTATTTATTTATTTAATGCGTATGTCACCCAGAAAAGTTCAAACAAAAAATAAGAGGGTTAAATTACAACCAAAACAAATCCAGCTGGCACAGGATTAAATTATTAAAACGTTGAAACCCAGAAGTAAAATTTAATGAGTGAAACATGAAATGAAGGCCTGATGGAAAAGGAAGATCTTAACATGGTCAGATTACATTTCTAATCGATGTGAAATGAATCAAGAGAGGTACAGGGGTCTGAATTTCACTGCAAGCTTTGTGTTTATTTGAGGCCAGTTCAAATGTTACAGTCTACTACACGAGGCTGCCTCTGCATACTGGTTTATGTCAGCATCATTGAGGAGCAAGACTTGCATTTCTTGATGCAGTCTCATCATATAGATGTCTTTGTGAAAAGGTGAAATCAACCAGGAATTACTTCATTTTCAGTTATGGACTACAAAGCTGGAAGTGTATCTCTTTCCTATGTCCCATTGTCCTCATTGAAATTTCTTGCCACCTCCACACCTCCAATGTGTCATTGCACTATAATAGCACAGTGTGGTGGAAACCTGGCCACATTTAGCTTTTGCCCTCAACATGGCCATGTGAGACAGGCTATGATCTCATGTTTTGACTAATTCTCATATTCAGCTTCATCCATCCATGGGATTACAGGAATGTATAGCACTTGTGTCGAGAATCCTTACAATGATAGAAATCCTAGAGTTTGGAAATTTAGTTTTGCCAAGCTCAAAAAGTACTGGTGGTCATACTGGATACAGAAGCTACGGATCGAAAAAGCTTTCCAAGCTGTGATCAGATGTCCCATAAACCCTACTGTTTAAACATATATACCATAAATGTAATAGTTAAAAATAGCAGCCTTGTAAGTATCTATATTTCACAAAAAAGCATGTGGAAGATATTTACTATTCATGCACAGCCTCAAAAAAACTAATTTTTTGAAATCATTTTCAAAGGCTGCTTCTCGAGGTATTAAAAATCCATCTTCAGTTGAGCAAAAGAAGAAGAAACAGGAGGAAATGGAGAGGCGTCTTGAATCCACGGGCCCTGGACCAGAAGGAGGCGGACTAAGAGTAAGAAATAAGGAAAACACTGCTATGTTGGACTGAAGACCTACTTCAAGCATTGGAAGGGTCTTGATAGCACTGAACCCTCCAGATTTTTGTACTACTGCTTCCATAACTATGTACTTTTTGCAGAGCCCAGTAAAGTTACTGGAAGTATAGTCCAGAATCTGTGTTTTTAATACCAGACTTGTCTAATTCAACATTTTGTTCCCCAGAGTTGGCTACCATTGTATGGGAAGCTCACACAAAGGACATAAAGTTAATAACTCCCCACTTCTGGTCTTTCTCAGTAACTGGTCTTTGATTAATTATGCATATCTACCTTATATTAAAACATTAATTTCCCATCATGTTAAAAGCAGTGGTTCTGTAAAGTGACTTGCTTTCATTTTAGCAGCAACTATAACTTATGAAATGATGTGTGTTCTAGGTATTTTGCCCCCAGGGAAGTGAAATTGTTTTGAGAGTTTACTGAAGGTGTAGCAATTTTATTTAAAGTCTGAAGACACTTGACTAATAGTTAAGCTTGATGTAACCATGAAAAAAATTACAAGTTACTGAAACTGCTACATGAAAATCTTGCATTTCTCTCAGAGGTGGGCTGTTTGTATTACATACATGTGAGGTACAGTAAATCTTCTATATGGGGAAATAAAAATCTTCTGTATGAAGAGATTCTGCCATAACCTGAAAGTGGTCCTTCAAGAGCTGATGAAGTGAATAGGAAAAAATAAGTATCTATTTCATCTGAAATAAATTGGTAGTGCACCTACACTGTACATTAATTCAGGTTAGCACCATTTAACTGCCATGGCTCAATACTGTGGAATCCTGGGAAGTGTAGTTTGGTAATGCCCCAGCACTCTTTGGCAAAGAAGGCTAAAGACTTGGTAAAACTACAAGTCTCATGATTCCTTAGCATTGACGATGCGACGGAAAATGATTTTAATGATGAAACGCTGAGATTTGTATCTATGTTTTTAATTGTTAATTGTTATTGTTTTACATGGTTATTTTATATGTAAATGTTTTGACTATATTTTTATCTTGTAGGGCATTGATTGCCAAATGTAAACTGCCTCGAATCACCTTCAGGCTGAGAGGGGTGGTATACAAATAAAGTAAATAAATAAATAAATAAATAAATAAATTGAGCCATGGAATTTAAAGTGGTTTCAAACTTTATTAATTATACAGTGTATATGCATCCTGAGATTATAATGGATCACTATACATTAAAATAATCTCTTTTTTTCATTTTTAGTGGCAAGTTGGATAAGTTGAATCACTACACATTTTCTGAAGAGAAAGAATGAATGTCTTACTGCCAATACCTTGCCAAGTTCCTGCAGTTGAGTGACACTTGTTTGTTTTTGTCGTCTTGCTGTTGTTTGCCTCTGAAGACGCAGCAGTAACTTTGCCACTGTAGCAAGGCAAATGAAAGATGTGCACTAAGGATACTTTCAAACCAAAACCTTACACTGTTCAGCTGGGATGGCCAAAACCAGGCACTTACTAGTTATGCTGCCATATTGTATAACTTTGCATGTCTTAACTTCTTGAGGGGGTCAGAATGTAGACGAGATGAGGCAGATATATGAAATGTTCTAACCCTGATTGTTATGGGAAATTCTTCTGCTTTTACAAATGGCCTTAGATATGTAAGTTGTCCACCTTCCCTCCTGGTGCCAAGCCCTAATCTGGGGTTCCCCTGCTCTGGGCTACAGCTAGCAGTGTTGTCAGCAAGTAAGGGTTTTGGTTTTTGAGGGTTGAAGCTTTTTGTGCCTTCTGGGGGGTTGAATTCACATATTTAATGAAAATGTTGCCATGTCCTCCTGATTAAACCTTGTAAATGCTCTTTCTGTGTGTGGGGATGTAGAAATACAGGGAAAGATGGACCGTTAATTTTTTTAACAGAACATACTTCTGCTTTTACCACATTGGGTATACATTTGGTAAGGAAGTGCCATACTAAGGAAGGAACCTATGGTGACATTTCTGTATTTATGAAAAGGTCAATGTAAGCTTACTCTTAAACATTCTGCAAATTAGACTTCTGAAATTCTTCAAATGTAAACAAATGCTTTAAAACATTAATATTCATGTATACTTAAGTTCTGATAAATATATTTATGTGATTTATCTCCCAGATTTTTCTTATTTAGGATATTTGATGGCTACTCACCTAACAACAGCTCATTCTGTCTTTTTCCTCTCTGATTTTCCCCTTTTTGATTTTCTGAACATGGCCATATAGCCCGAAAAACCTACAAGAGCCCAGTTTCCCCTTTTTGTTCTTTGATTCTCTCTTCTTTCTCTGAATGTGTGGTATATGTATGTACATATCCATCATTGGATATTTTGGAAGTGTCTCACTTCATGTATTGGCTACCAGTACATTTGAGAATGGAGATTAATTGGTTGACCTTAACTGTAACCATCCACAATAGAATGGACACCCGGTTGAACAGAATCCTTCACCAATCCTTGAGCCTCCTTTGCTACTCAAGTTTGATCCAAAACATTGAGTGACCCTTTGGAACATATTTGAAAGGGAAATTCCTACTGTACAGGAGTTCATGAAATATTAGATTAATATTCCCAGACAGATTTAGGGACTGGAAACATAAGACAGCCTCTTAGAGATGATCAGAGAATGAAATCAACTGGTAGTGGAAGAAGTGAAGCTTTTTACCATTACTTTTTCTACTAAAAAATAAATCTGGCAGTTTCTTATTTGTCCCCAAGGTGGCACACTTTCTCTTTTAAAAAATGGCTTTAGGAATAGATGTAAAACAAGCCAAGTAGTATGGCAGTTCTGCTCTGTCTGGCTTAAACGCAAACTTGCTTTTTTCTTTTTTTGTATTTGCACACAATATGCCTAATGAATTTACTGTTATTTAAACTTTTGATCCCCCTCCACTATAATCCCAAAGCATTGTAACAGGCAGCAGACACTTTTTTCCATTAAAATTAAAATTCGGATTGGATTAAAACAGGTTAAAGCAGTGGTTATCAATCTGTGGGCCCCCAGATGTTTTGGCCTTCATCTCCCAGAAATCCTAGCAGCTGGTAAACTGGCTGGGATTTCTGGCAGTTGTAGGCCAAAACACCTGGGGACCCGCTGGCTTAACAGGTCCCAGGTTTTTGCTGTGTTAACCTTCTAAATGCCTCCCCCCCCCCAAAAAAAAATTCTAAGCAGCAAAACTTTGGTATTGTGTTCTTTCCTTGAAATGGCCACAGTATTTCTATAAAACTAATTTTGTTAACTGTGTTCTTCAGCAATTGGAGCTAGGAAGATTTAGCTTCATGATAATAGAATAGTAGCACTGTTTTTATGTTTGCAGTTGCTGCACTTAATACAGCTGTGAAAATTTTTGAGTTATGATCATTTTGTTTTTGTTCATTAACAACTAAATCTGAGGGCTAAACTGGGAAGTGGATGTGAGTGGGCAATCCCATTTCCACATGCTCAGATCCTGTTAGATAGCTTTATGTTTAGCATGAAAATTTGAAGGGCAAAAAAAAAAAGGTTTATACTGAGATATGGTGGATTTTGTGTCAATGAGCTGGTGAGTTCAGGCTTTCATCTCAACTTTAAAGAAACTAGGCAAGGGGTTGAAACATACCTCGCCCTGGACTTCTTAGTGAAACTCAGAGCACATTAATCTCCCCACTGAAAGGGAAACCCTTAGTGCAGTGGTTTTCAACTTGTGGGTCTCCAGAAATCCCAGCTGTGATTTTTTTCTGAGCAATGCCAATGTTTCTTATAGCTTAGACAGTTGTACAAAATTACTGATGCTTTTCATGTGCTACATGCATAAATATCTGATACAGTGGCCTTTTAGCGTGGCTGCAACTCTTCTCCTTTCTAGCCCTTAACATGATGCAGTTGGACACTTTTGTGGCTGGAAAGAATACAGTGCTGTTTTAAACTATTCCACTGAAGTGTGATTTTTGTTAACATCTCAAAAGGATTGTGGCCTTTTAAATATTAATGCCTTAGACTTGATAATGATGGACATCTGTGTTGCTAGCATTCATATATCATATTGCCTTACTGGCCAATATAACACCAATATACCAGTAATGTGGGATAATAGAAGTTTTTAATGATGCGGAACATGCTTCAGGAGGCTTTTGCAGTGAGACATTGTAGAGTGCCAATTTAGGAATGTATTTGTTTTGGTATTTTTAATCCTGCCATTAGCTTTTAGAAAATGGATTTATACTAGATTGAGATCTCATTGTTACATTATTTTTGCACATAATGCATTGGTTTACAACAGGATCCCCCAAATTGATGCCCTTCAGATCTACCAAACTTCGATTTTATGGCATTGGCCATGCTGGTGGAGATGATGAGAGGAGAAATCTAAATTATCTTCAGCACACCATGTTTGAAAAGCCTTTTGTATTCTATCAACAAACATATTTGCTCCCTCTTCTAAAAGACAGCTTTACCATACATAAAAAGGACTTATAAAAGATGTGGTCATTACAGAATTGGAAATGCTTTTTGTGGCCCCATAAATAGGTACCCTCAGCTATTTTCCAGCAAATCAGTGATCAGTGGTTTCAGAACATATAGCCTTGTTTCTGTGCATAAAGATCTTTATTTTTAGAGCAATTAATGTTATTAATTAGCATGGAAACAGCATTCCAGTTGTGCAAAGATTCTTTCAAAAACAGACATTGTCTGCTCATGAAATAAATTCTATTAAATTATGTGGGTTTTCCATGTAATGTTTATTGGATTGCATAGTCTACAGCCAAAGGTAGCTGATAATAGAAATTGTACTCTATCTTTTGTAATGCAGTGATAGTAATGTTCAAAGAAGTAGCCATATCATCTAAAAAAAAAGGGGGGGGTGGCAGAATTTTTAAAAATTGTGTTTATTTTCATGTCTATAAAACATGAATGAGCAAACTTTGGCACTCCAGGTGTTTTGGACTTCAACTCCCACAATTCCTAGGTAGTCTAAAGATGCTATCACATTCTTTTTCTCTCTCTTCCTCCTTTTTGTAATGTCATGAGTTGCCCAGTGTAAGGTAGTTCATCACAAACCACATAACCATATTAAGGCAGGAACAGAGATTGCATAATTGTCTCCCATGAGATACATCAAATTGAAATTCTCCATTTTTGTGTACAAAGTATTCCATATCACTGGAAAGAAGTAAGGGAATTTTTGCCTCTATCGGGCTCCAAGTTAAATAGACAGACCTCTTAGTTGAAATGGAGGAAAGGCTATCACAGATCTGTAGCAACGTTGCCCAAACTTTTGTCTCCCAAATAAGTTTGGACTTCAACTCCCAGAATTCCTGAATGTTGGCCAGGTTGGCTGGGGCTTCTAGGAGTTGTAGTCCAAAACAGCTGGAGTATCAAAGTTTGGGAAACACTGACTCATAGCACATATTTATACTATTTGTCTTAGGAGTAGTGCTTATGGTTAAGTAGGAGCTAGTGTTGACAGAGCCTTAATCCTGAAACAACTCTGGAATCTGACTAGCTGATGTAACAAGTCTTTCTGAAATTACTATGTTGCAAATAATAAAAGTTTTAAGACTTTATTTAAAAAGTATTTCTTTATTTCTAATGCATCATATGATTTCAGCTCAAATTTATACAGTCATCATTCAAACAATCCTCGAATAATGATTTTTTTCCTAGCAAGGCACAAAAGTTGTCAAGTACAAAGAAAATTAGCAAACCCTATAAACCAAACCCCAGCATTCCTATATATCATGGAGATATGTTACCTAATCCCCTCCCCTCACATTTATCTACAGCAAATACAATATTTTCATATTTTATTCAGTATGCTCAAAATAAACCCAGAGGCAGAGAATATCCCACTGTGTCATGTTAGGATATGTGTCCAGGACTGCCTTAAGCCATACCATACCATAGCATACCCTTCACTCACAATAGATAGGAAGGCCATTCTAAAGGCAGACAACAGGCACCCAGAGAACAAACCAGGGAGTCATTTGCTACTGCAAAGCAATGTATTCTCATGTCAAGTTAGAAAGGTGTGAAAGTCATGAATCACTCCTAAGTTGAAAAATCTTGCAAATGTTTTACATTTAATTTATCTTGAAGCATTAAGTAATAGTGCTTATAAAAGTAGTTGGAAGGTATAGCAAGAACATTAAAATATTACTCATTCTGAGATTGTGGACTAGTATAAAGTTTTTCCACCATTACTTATCCTGGCTTTCTGGGAGGGTAATGGATGTTTAATGGCTGATACTGTAAGGGAACTTTTCAGATCTTTTGGGTTGGGGCAGAGCTGTCTGGCTACTATTGCAGAATTTGGGGAAAAAAGCGTTGCACGAGAAGGCACTTGATACTTTCTTGTGCTGTGTCTGACAAAGTACTTACACTGTGTTAACCTCTAGTTACGCTAGTGTAAGTCTCCAAGACTTGTTTGCATCTCTTCATTACCATAGAAAAGGCTTGGTTGGTAATCCTTAAGGCTTAATGTGAAAAACCTCCCAAATAAAACAAGGTTGTGAAATAGAGAATGCTATAAACTCCAGAAGGCCAACAGATTGCCTGAGGATTCTTGCATTTCTACCCAGTTATTTCCAAGATAGATGTGCTGTCTAAATGGAAAGGCAGCTAATGCCACCTTTTGCCTCACCCTGCTCATAACTCTGTCTCTCAGGTAATGCAAGCAGTTTTCCACCAGAGTCAATGTTTTGGCAATCATGTGACAAAAATGTGGATTTCAAATGGAAATCTATCCCTCCTGTAAGTAGTGTTAAAAATGTGCTCATCACAATGAAGCTGAGATGGTGCCTCCAAGCTATGTGTTACACTGCAAGATGCCAGCAACTATCTGTTGTGTTGTCTTCTAAATTAAACCATGGTTGAGTTGAGTTTGGGAAGCAAAGAAAAAGGTTACTGGGAGATTCCCCTGGAGTCTTCAGTGAACTAGTTTCTCCTCTCTCATAGGTCTTACTTGGTTTTGGAGGGAGAGAAACAACACAATACAAGTACCTTTTTTTGTCCCCATACGAAACAAAACAGAATTTGAGAAAAGTGATTTAGAGTTTAAACGTTCCTTGACAGCTCACAAAAGGTGACAGAAGAAACACCTGTAGAAAGAGATCAGCTTTGATAGCTCGTGCCACCTTTTGTGCCAGTTACAAAATGTGGGTTCCATTTGCTCATAAAAAGTGTTATTTTACTTCACATTTTGCTGTGACATATGGAACATATGAGTACTTTGTTACTTTTACAATCCTTTTAGTATAGCATATGGGTTGGCTAACAAAGGATTATGCACTGCCCATAAGGGTGAAAATGACTATTGACACTTGACCTACTACTGCTTATCCATCTAAATCTGGAACAGAAAAAATTACTTAATGTTGCTTTCACTAGCAGTACATTTTTTGTTTTATACATAACTAATGCATGCTTCTTTTTTGTACTGATTAGCACTACCTATGGAAAAAAAGATTTTTTTTCATTAAGATATAAAGGTGAAGAAGTGCAGGTATCTTCCTACAGTTGCTACCCAATATCTGTTTTCATTTCATCTCAGGTAATAAACTGTCACCTGATTCATTTTTGGAGCAACTGCTGTATACAGGAGTAAGTGATATAAGCAGGGAAAATCTCTCAATTGCAAAAGAAGATTAATTAATTTCAGTGGAGACACTTAATGAGCAACCTTCCAAAATAATGCATGAAAGAATCAAGTTTCTTCCATGAATCCGGTCTGCAAGCATGGGGACTTATTGTGTGTTGGAACAATGATGAATAAGTTGCCAAGTATTGCTTAATCTGACTGTTTGCTCCTTTTCAGGAACTTAGGAAGAACACTTCCTTGCTCACAGCTTGTAAAAATTTCTTTTTAGACAATTACACACATGCAAAATTGAGGCACTAGTCTGAAAAATCACTCTTCCAAGCTCCGTTCCCCTTATCTTCTACTTTCAGAAACTGGAAGTAAATGTAATGATTTACAAATACAAAGGGTGTATTCCACCGCTGAGCTACACAGAACTCTGAATTGGGGGAAGTTGTTGGGAATCATATATATTTTTCATACAAATATATCACATATTATTACTTGAATGTGAGTCATATTGTTTAAGTCATTCTAAGAATACATTCATAGAGTAATAATTTGGCTAAAAATATATGTCTTCTTTTTTATCAGATTGTCGTAATTTATCAAGGGTAACTTGCCATAAAAAAGGTACAGTACTAGAAATAAATATCTCTACAGTTCAACAATCCACAAAATGGGCTGTCATTTCCAGTCTGCATGTAATTTTCACAAGTCCTTTTAAAGCATCAACTAATTTCACTACACTTGAGAAGATAGTGTGGGCCTACACATACACAGTCCCCAACAAAACAGGAAACTTTTCACTTAATCTCCTTTTTGGATTTGTAGTGGGCAGAAACAACTAAGTAGCTGTCTGGATTCAGATCCTTGATGGTTGGAGACTTGTTCTGGATTGGGGATGTTTTCCCATCCACACGAGAGATCTGCAGCATTCGGCATGGGTCATGTTTCAGCAAGTACCCTGCAAATGTCTCCCATCCTCCTCCTACACGGACCATCACATGTTTGTTGTGCAGCATCTATATTTTAAGAAAATATAGAGAATAAATAGATAAACCATTAATCAACATTAAAAATACAGTTATTATTGAAAACACAAAAAGTCAAAAACCGTGTAATCCTATTTCAATCCTTAAAATCTTTTTTAAAAAAACATTCCTTGATAGTAGGTAATGGGTATTCCATAAATTGCATGGTAGAAACACAAAAGGATTGTGTCCAGAATCATGTTTATATATGCATTCATGTACACAGAGGTATGAAGGCTCAAGGATAAAAAACAAGCTTCATTGACTCCCCAACAGAAGATTTTTTTTAAAAAAAAAGAAAGAAAGAAAGAAGCTAGAAATGATTGGGGAAGGTGGTCACTGCAAATGAACACACTGATAACTGCTTTTCCCTCAGAAATAAATTCCAGACATGCATACAATTTGTTGTTGCTATTGAATACATTAACATCCAAGCATGCATCTTTTCAAGTATATAGTAATTCCAGGAGGTATTTACGGATCCTATCAATCTAACTCCAGCAAAGGATCACCGCCTTGTCGGGGCGCTGGAGCTTGAGCACCTCAATGATGTCATGAGCGAAACCGTGAAGGGACACCCAAGACGGGACGGTTGTGGCAGAGAGGTCAGACCAAGCGTGTTCCCTGGGGAAGGCAATGGCAAACCACTCCAGTATCCTTGCCAAGAAAACTAAATGGACCAGTACAACCAGAGATATGTCGGTATGCCATTGGAAGATGGGACTCCCAGGTCGGAAGATGGCCAAAATGCTACTGGGGAGGAGCAGAGGATAAGTTCAACTAGCCTCAGATGTGATGACGCAGCTAGCTCAAAGCCGAAAGGAAGGCTAGCGGCCGACGGTACTAGAGGTGAACGACGAATCCGATGCTCTAAAGATCAACACACCATAGGAACCTGGAATGTAAGATCTATGAGCCAGGGCAAATTGGATGTTGTTATTGGCGAGATGTCAAGACTAAAGATAGACATTCTGGGGGTCAGCGAACTGAAGTGGACTGGAATGGGCCACTTCACATCAGATGACCACAAGATCTACTACTGCGGACAAGAGGAACATCGAAGAAATGGAGTAGCCTTCATAATTAATAAGAAATTCGCTAAAGCAGTGCTTGGATACAACCCAAAAAATGACAGAATGATCTCAATTCGAGTGCAAGGAAAGCCTTTCAACATTACAGTGATCCAAATATACGCCCCAACCACAGCTGCTGAAGAAGCAGAAGTAGATCAGTTCTATCAGGATCTGCAGGACCTACTGGATAATACACCAAAAAGAGACATTATTTTCATTACAGGAGACTGGAATGCCAAGGTGGGAAGTCAAATGACAACTGGGATCACAGGCAAGCATGGTCTGGGAGAACAAAATGAAGCGGGACGCAGGCTGATAGAATTTTGCCAGGAAAACTCGCTGTGTATAACGAATACTCTCTTCCAACAACCTAAAAGACGGCTTTACACATGGACCTCACCAGATGGTCAACACCGAAATCAGATTGACTACATCCTTTGCAGCCAAAGGTGGCGGACATCCATCCAGTCGGTGAAAACAAGACCTGGGGCTGACTGTAGCTCAGACCACGAACTTCTTATTGCCCAATTTAGAATAAAACTAAAGAGATCAGGGAAAATACACAGACCAGTTAGATATGATCTCACTAACATTCCTAGCGAATATACAGTGGAAGTGAAGAACAGATTTGAAGGACTAGATTTAGTAAACAGAGTCCCAGAAGAACTATGGACAGAAGTCCGAGACATTGTTCAGGAGGCGGCAACAAAGTACGTCCCAAAGAAAAAGAAAACCAAGAAGGCAAAATGGTTGTCTGCTGAGACACTGGAAGTAGCCCAAGAAAGGAGGAAAGCAAAAGGAAACAGGGATAAGGGGAGATATGCCCAGTTAAATGCGCAATTCCAGAGGTTAGCCAGAAGAGATAAGGAACTATTTTTAAATAAGCAATGCATGGAAGTGGAAGAAGACAACAGAATAGGAAGGACAAGAGACCTCTTCCAGAAAATTATAAACATCGGAGGTAAATTTCAGGCAAAAATGAGTATGATCAAAAACAAAGATGGCAAGGACCTAACAGAAGCTGAAGAGACCAAGAGAAGATCATGATACTATACAGAATATCTGTATAGGAAGGATAATAATATTGATGATAGCTTTGACGGTGTGATGAGTGAATTAGAACCAGACATCCTGAGGAGTGAGGTTGAATGGGCCTTAAGAAGCATTGCTAACAACAAGGCAGCAGGAGACGACGGGATCCCAGCTGAAATGTTTAAAATCTTAAAAGATGATGCTGTCAAGGTGATGCATGCCATTTGCCAGCAAATATGGAAAACACAAGAATGGCCATCAGACTGGAAAAAATCAACTTATACCCCATACCAAAAAAGGGAAATGCGAAAGACTGCTCAAACTTCCGTACAGTGGCCCTTATTTCTCATGCCAGTAAGGTAATGCTCAAGATCCTGCAAGGAAGACTCCAGCAATACATGGAGCGAGAGTTGCCAGATGTTCAAGCTGGGTTTAGAAAAGGTAGAGGAACGAGAGACCAAATTGCCAATATCCGCTGGATAATGGAGAAAGGCAGGGAGTTTCAGAAAAACATCTATTTCTGCTTCATTGACTATTCTAAAGCCTTTGACTGTGTGGATCATAATAAATTGTGACAAGTTCTTAGTGGGATGGGCATCCCAAGCCACCTTGTCTCTCTCCTGAGGAATCTGTACAAGGACCAAGTAGCAACAGTCAGAACTGACCATGGAACAACAGACTGGTTCAAGATTGGGAAAGGCGTACGGCAAGGTTGCATACTCTCACCCAACCTTTTTAACTTGTATGCAGAACACATCATGCGATGTGCGGGGCTTGATGAATGCAAAGCTGGGGTGAAAAATTGCTGGAAGAAACATTAACAACCTCAGATATGCAGATGACACCACTCTGATGGTCGAAAGTGAGGAGGAGCTGAGGAGCCTTCTAATCAAGGTGAAAGAAGAAAGCGCAAAAGCCGGGTTGCAGCTAAACGTCAAAAAAACCAAGATTATGGCAACAAGAATGATTGACAACTGGAAAATAGAGGGAGAAACCGTGGAGGCCGTGACAGACTTTGTATTTCTAGGTGCAAAGATTACTGCAGATGCAGACTGTAGCCAGGAAATCAGAAGACGCTTACTTCTTGGGAGGAGAGCAATGTCCAGTCTCGATAAAATAGTGAAGAGTAGAGACATCAGACTGGCAACAAAGATCCGCCTAGTCAAAGCCATGGTATTCCCTGTAGTCAACCCTACGGATGTGAGAGCTGGACCTTAGGGAAGGCTGAGCGAAGGAAGATCGATGCTTTTGAGCTGTGGTGTTGGAGGAAAGTTCTGAGAGTGCCTTGGACTGCGAGAAGATCCAACCAGTCCATCCTCCAGGAAATAAAGCCCGACTGCTCACTGGAGGGAAAGATACTAGAGACAAAGTTGAAGTACTTTGCCACATCATGAGGAGACAGGAAAGCCTAGAGAAGACAATTATGCTGGGGAAAGTGGAAGGCAAAAGGAAGAGGGGCCGACCAAGGGCAAGATGGATGGATGGCATCCTTGAAGTGACTGGACTGACCTTGAGGGAGCTGGGGGTCGTAACGGCCGACAGGGAGCTCTGGCGTGGGCTGGTCCATGAGGTCACGAAGAGTCGGAGACGACTGAACGAATGAACAACAACACAACATCAATCTAAACTGAGTTCTTTGGTTGCCATAAAGGGTCTCTTCCCTTGCAAGATGTGCATTTGAATTATTGTAATATGGGGTCTAGTGGTGTGATTAAAGTGGAGTTAAAGTACAGCAGTAGCTAAGAAAAAAGTCAGGGTGGTGAAGTTATATGAGTTTGACTGTGACGTTGATGTCCAATATTTCAGTGGCTGCTCAAGCATAGAAACCCACTGGGTGACCTTAGCAAGTCATATGCTCTCAGTTTCGGAGCAAGGCAATGGCAAACCCTGATTATGGGATCAAAACAGTTTGGGTTGCCTGGTGAACGGCCTACTGCAGAAATTATCAAAGTTATTTCAAAAACATTTTGCAAGCAGCATCCTGACAAGAAGCATGGGTTCTAGGCTTACCTTAGTCCCTATTTGCATCCTGCAGAGGTACAGTAATATTTTGATGGAACTCTTGCTCCTCCTGGGAATCACAGCAGTTGCAAATTTGCTCAATTTTGAAGAGACAAACAAGAGTCTATGGGTTTATCTACACTGTGGAATTAATGAAGTTTGACACCTCTTTCATTGCCATGTCTCTGTTATTGAATCATAGAAGTCCACAAACCTCTCTTAAATTAGGAGGAGGGGGTGAGAAAGCAATTCATTTTCTATGTTTATTACGGTAAAAACAATGTGTGTCAGGAAACATGGATATTTATTCTGATCAAGTTGTGTTTAGGAGCACTCACAATAACAACAAAATGAATTCATTTATGGGATAAAAGAATTGGCTGTGGGTTTGGGGGTCTGGCAAGGTATGAAATGTCATTTATCTCTTGCCAAGTCAGAACTCAGTGAAAGATTCATAAAGTCTGGAGTAGATCAATCAACATGAATCTTTGTAGGTCACCTTTCTACCTATGCAACAAATGTAGGGCTTTTGAAATTGAATACTACTCTGCATTGAAAGCATGTCCACTCCCCCATATCTACCACTCAAACACATAAATATATTTCACATAGCCAAGCAGATCTGTTGAAAAGATCTGTCAACAGTTGAATGTTTATCATCATCCATCAAGGGTCAACCGTTCATATGATATGAGCTGTTTTTATTTCAACTATAAAAGGTTCAGATTTTTGTTAGAGTGGAAATTGAACTATATATGATACATTGGGAGGGAATGTTATAGCTCTGCATTCCTGACACAAACATTACTTGTTTTGGTGCAAAATATTTTTTTACACGAAGTTTTAACACTTTGTGTAAAAATATTGTGTTTTGTTCAAACATAC